CATTAAAACTAGGTCACTCTGAGTGTTTTGTTCTCAGGCTTTTGGGTCAAAAGAGGAGACGGTGTGAAGGTGCTTTGTTATCTGTGCAGATGGCGGTCTTGGCTGTGTTTGCTTATTTTGAAGCCTAGACAGTTACAGTTCTTTAGGTAACACTTTCTTCTTCTTGTCCTTTTTCTGGCCTGTTCTGTAGCTATAGAGCCGGAAAGAATGGAGGTAGAGGGAAAGGAAAAATCTGCAAATGGAAAATAATGCCTGACTATCTTGGTGAGTTACGTCTGATGACCTGCTTTGTGTGTCATTTACAGGAAGTGAATATTGAGTTTGAAGCTCATTCCATCTCAGATAATGACTACGACGGGATTAAGAAACTGCTGCAGCAGGTATTGTCTTTGACTCATTACACATGAATTTGCTCTTCTGAGAATTTCCAGGCTGTTCGACATAAGTTCTGTCAAAGTTCATTTCTTCTATTTTAGAACTCCCATTTCTACCCTCTCCACCTTGCCTGGAAGGAGGAATGGGTTCTCTCCTTTTCCTGGGAGACTCCCCTGTTTGTGCCTCTGCTCCCAGAGCTCTTCCTCTGACTCACATATTTAAGTATTCTGTGTTCTCACATACCCTCCCTTTCATCTTTTAATTACTAGAGCTACTCTTCTGTTTTTCTCTAGCTCATACCCAGACCTGGTGGGGTAGAGGGACTGTCACATCACAGCCTGTCACTGACTGCATGTCTGGTGCCCAGAATCCGTGCCTGCGGCTTCTGCTTGTTCCTTTATGCTGTACAGGGGAGCTTTGGTTCTCTGCCCTTCTTTCCAGCCTCCGGTGTCCTGGTCACCACATTCTTTGGCCTTTTGTCCATCCTCCTCCCCAGCGCCTCCTGTATGACCTCCCACTGCCTTTTCTTAAATTTCAGTGCCTTTACTTCTTTGACTCTCTTGGGCTTTTTCTTTCCTCTTGGGATTGCTTTTCTGGGTCACCTTTCTGGTCAAATCATTGAAATTTCATTATTATTTGAATATGGAAATTAGAACTTTTATTAGAAATCATGCTTTAGTTTTAATTTAAAATAATTTTTTTTCTCCTCCAAGCTTTTCCTAAAAGCTCCCGTGAACACTGCAGAACTAACAGATCTCCTAATTCAGCAGAACCACATTGGGAGTGTGATTAAGGTAAGCAGGACAGTTGTGTCTGTTCTGATTAAATTAGTTCTTTATCCTAAGTTCTTCCTGGTTTATAGCAAGCAGGCCAGAAATTCAAATTGGAAAGTATCGCTGGTTAGGAGGCCGTCGCAGCAGGTCAGGGTTATTAATGCAGTCATCCGGGTAGTTGCGCTAGGTGGGGAGAGAAGCGGGCTGGTCCCCAGGATGTGTGGGAGATGAGACGTGGTGGGGCTTAATGGGCAATTGGGTCTGAGAGCTGGGGGAAAAGGAGTCACGGTGACTCTCACGTGTCTGCTGGAGAACCAAGACAGCAACCGTGGAGGATGATGAGGTTGGGAGGGGAACATTTTGGATTTGACTTTCCTGTGACATGTGCAGGTGAAGATACTGAGCAGCAGCTGGAGACTGGGGCGTTGAGATTCCCAGGGAGGGCGGGGACAGACGCTGGGGACCAGCCTTGCTTGGATGAGTGAGGCAAGCAGCAGAGCCTGCCGGGGGTACTCAGGAGTGACAGGAGAGGGAGAAGAGAAAGCCTTGAGTGGCGTCACCCAGAGCAGGGGGGTGGCCTTTGGAGGAGGAGGGGGCAGGACTGGGGTGAATCCTGCCTCAGCCACTTATCCTCCACTGGCTTTTTCTGTTCCTTGCGGCTGCCTGCGTCTCAGGGTCTTAGAGCAGCAGCGGTCATCTGTTTAGCTCGTGACTGTACGGCGTGGTCACAGCTCAGTGAGGACAGCTCTTACTTGCTCCAGGTCACGTTAGCCAGGGAGGCTCATTGCGGGCCTGGAGGATTTTCTGGCCAAACGGCTCACTCCCATGCAGGGCAGGTTAGTGCCGGCTCTCCATTGGGAAGTGGCTGGGACTGTGGGCCCAGGCCTCAGCCCCTCTCTAGCGTGGGCCTCTCTACCCAAAAGACATCTTGTGGTACAGTGTCATTCCCACCATTCACTTGATCAGCAGACACAAAGGTCTATGCAGGTTAACTGGGAGGGCGCATAGACGCCACCCCTCTCAGTGGGAGGAGTGTCCAGGTCACTTTGTAGAAGAGAATGTGGGATAGGAGATATATTGATGAGGCTGTCTGCGGAAGATACAGTCTGCCACCATGGCCTTAATGTGCCTCCATGTGCGTCTCTGATGATGAGGGTGGTCCTGGTACCTACTTTGTAGAGCGATAGGTGAATGAGATGAGTTGCCAAGTGTAAAGTGCTTTGAACAGTGTTGGCACGTGGCACGTGCTCTGTAACAGATGTGAGCCCTGGCTCATCAGTGTCCTGAGGCCAGGTAGGTACCGATGAGAAGCAGTCACTGTAATTCCTCGTTTCCTTTCTTGCCCCCTTTTTCTTCTCTCCTGCCCATGTGGTAGGATGAGAGGCACACCAGCACCGTTCACCCGCACTGGGGGTCCCGCATGGCCAGGGCTCTGGAGGCGTGGATTCTAGGTGAGACGGTGGTGGGGGCCCACAGAGAAACAAGCATGGCTGGGTCCAGCCAAGTCACTTAGGACACAGACTCAAATGCTTTATTTCATGAGATTTTACCTGTTCTGGATTTATAGTACTTTGAGAAAAATGTCTTAAGAATCTAGTAAAAAGAAATTTACAGCAGAAAGAGATCATCCAGAGTGTAAAAAGGACAGAATCAAGGGAGGTAAAGTGACGTGAGCATGACCACACAGTGTTAGTCTGTGATGCCTTTCTAAGGTTTGTGTTGGAAAAGTGAAAAGATAAATGAGGCCCAGATACCAAGACTTGGTGTTACACTTCTTCCCAACCAAATACAAATTTTTTTTCTTCTTCAAATAGCAAACGGATGTTTCTGAAGACAGTGATGATGATGTGGATGAAGATGAGATTTTTGGCTTCATAAGTCTTTTGAATTTAACTGAAAGAAAGGTTGGTTTCACTGGGTGGCATTGGAATGGTTATTCCTTAGGCTCAAACCTAAAGAATTAATTTTATGAAATGCATGATGAAACTGCCCTTAAAAATCAGACAGTGATATTAACCACAAGGACATGTGCTCTTGTGAAATCTTACTGTGATCCTCTTTTCAGTGTGAAGGGGTTTTTGTTTTTTTCTGACTAATCTGCACCCAGCCACAGTCATTTACTGCCTGTGGTGTAGAGAATCACTGCTGACCTTCCAGGAGCTGTGTCTGATGTGGTGCTGACACGGGGGCTGTTGTGCCCTCCTCTGCAGCTCTCTTCGATTCTGAGTCTTTACTGCTCCCTGAAGTTGAGGTGCACATTTATTTGCGTGCTCACTCATTTCTTTTTACTGAATCATTGATCAGTTCTCAAAAAAGTAAGAACCGGTTGCTTACCCTCCTTAGAATAAGATGCAGGCTACACTTTACCTTAATTTTTACGTGAATGCAGTTATTTCTGTCTTTATGAGATGAACTAGAATTTCCATCCAGTGTGTCTGAGTGTTAGACTAACCTTTTCCCACTGATTATGGGCTGGTAAAGACCAGGCGGAGTTACTTTTGCAAAAATCTTAAGCAGTCAGCCCTGAAGACATAGAAGGCTTTAAAGGTCATGGCAAAAACTCCCCTTACCTGGTAAGATAAACAGTGATAGCTCTCACCTTCGGGTTTTCTCATGTAAGTGATGGCCTGTAATAAAAAGCGAGCCTTCTCTTTGTTTCTAGGGTACCCCATGTGCTGAACAAATTAAAGAGTTGATTCTCCGCCTCTGTGAGAAGAACTGTGAAAAGAGCTTGGTTGAACAGCTGGGCAAGCTTCTCAGTGACTCCGCCAAGCCCGTGGGCTTCCTGCTAAGCGAGCGGTTCATTAACGTCCCTCCACAGGTTGCCCTGCCCATGCACCAGCAGCTTCAGTAAGAGGCTTCGGAAAGTGCCCTTGAACAGTAGTTTTTTCCCCAGGTGGATTCAGAAACGTGATTGAAATGGAGTTTGTTGGTATAGAAAGGGTTCTGCTCTTGGTTTAACCAACAGTGTAGTGAGAATGGAAGAACAGCCTGTGAGAGGCATGCAGTAGTAGTCATTGGCTTTTTAAGTGTTTTAATTACTAGGACCACTATGATGGTAGCCTTAATAATCTTTAAGATTTAAATGGTGTAAAAATAGATGTTTCATTTAGACTTTTTATTCCCATATGACCAAAGTTTTTCACCCTCTTCACAGATAGATTTCTGTAACATGAATAAAATGTTGAATAACTACAACAATAATTACAAAAACAGTAACACTCCTACATTCTGTTGGGACATTTATGACTGATGCAACCATGGCCCTGACACTGCGTCTCTGGCTTCTCAGGGTTTGTTGTTTGGTTTTTTAATGCAGGAGTTTCAAGCTACAAAAATACTCTTGAGTGCATGAAGAGCTAAGAATTGGTATTGCCTGTGCTCTGAGGTAGAGGTAGAGGAGGCCGACGTCGCCAGCAGGCCCCCTGGGCTTCACAGGGTCGCGCCTCTCAGAGGTCGCAGCGCCTGGGGTTTTCCTTGAACTAGTTGGTGTGAATGTAACTGGTCTGAAAACCTTTAGGTTTCCCATCTTTTCTTTATAGATTCATTGCTTTTTAGGTTTGTTCTCTTTCTCCGTCTCCCCCACCCACCCCTCTGCTGCTGCTCAGATTGTCCATCTGGCGCCGTGTGTTGTGTTTTGCTTTGCCGTCTTTCTGGTCGGCTGGAGCTCATGCTCGTTTGGTTTCATAGGAGGGTGATCTGCTCTCTCCTGATGCTCCATTAAAGGAAGCTGAAGTGGTTTATTCTGAGCTGCTTTACATTTTTATTTAGCTCGATGCACAGGGTTATGTCTAATTTAAAGGAAGAAAAAAGTTAAGGCTTCCTTGCTGTCTTACGGACTGTGGTCAAGTTGAGGGCCTGTTTTGCCGTGCTGTTCGTGCAGTAGGTCAGAAAGGAGTCCCAGACGCTGCTCACTGGAGATCCAGTAGTCACGTGTTCTCATGGAACTGGTCCTGGCCACGTGCCTTTGTGTGTTTCAGGTCAGTGTATGTTTTAGAAAATCCAGCTTCTCATGTACTTTTAACCTCAGCGTAGGCAGAGCAGCGATGTTGCATGAACTTGAGATTCATTTGTTGGGGGCTGTGTATCCACAACTCAGAGCATAATTGCAGAGCATCATCAGACTGTTAGTCATGAAAAGCACTGCCGTAATCTACAAAGTGCAGCTGGCCGCGTAGAGAAAACTCACTGCTTTCCATCTAACATCTCTCTGTTAGCCTGTGTCACAGCAGAGCCCAGTGAAGAGGCCTCACTGGTTTTCTCTGTTCTCTGGTTTGTCGGTGGATCTCTCCTGACCCAGCAGGCAAACCTCGTGTGTCTCCTTGTAGGAAAGAATTAGCAGAGGCGCACAAAACCAACAAGCCATGTGGGAGGTGTTGCTTCTACCTTCTGATCAGCAAGACGTTTGTGGAAGCAGGAAAAAGCAATTCCAAAAAGAAATGGAGCAACCAAAAGAAAGCTGAGTTAATGTTTGCAAATGCAGAGGAGGAGTTTTTCTACGAGGTAAGACTCTCCTGTTTTCATCTGCTTGTGTAGATGTCAACATTTTCTTGATGATAATCAGGATTTATTGCTTTCCCACTTCATGTCAAAGTCCTTCAGGTGTGGCCGTTCTGTTTCTAAACCTGTGTCTGCCGCAGCTAAGAGCTAGTCACACCGAGGGTGGGGAGGTCATCGCCGAGCACGTGCTCACCGTAGGACGTGTAACTTTCAGGCCACACTGGGAGGTGGACACTAGCCTGGGTTTGCAGATGGGGACACTGAGTCTGAGGGAGATGAGGGCCATCGTCTGGTCTGTGTGGAAGATGGGCTGGACCCTGCCCTCCCAGTGCTGACTCACATGCTGCTCTGTGCCGAGTCCTGGATGTCATCCCACTGGTGGGATTTCTAGCACTTTCTATAAAAGCTTGTGCTGTGAATGGACACCCAAATGCCAGAGAATATACTTTCCTATGCGGCCTTCCTCTCAAAAGTGTTACAGAAATCTCTGAGGAAGGATGTGTTTTCCTGAATTGGATAATCTCACTCATTACTTTTAAGGCTTCCGCTAAAGACTAAAGCATCCTAGATTCAGCTCTGACCTTATTTTCCAGGAAGTAAATATTTGGAAATTAAAAAAAAAGTATGCCTCAGCACTTGAGGTAGATCATTTCAGGGACGTATTGTGGGTGTTTTAAGCCAGCCTGGTCATGCACGTTTACCTGTCAATAGCTTTGTGCCAAGGAAGCAGCTGGGACAGTGGGTAAGATCAGCATTTGAAGGTGATTCTTCTTATTGTCAGATGCTGTGAGTCTTAACTTCACTTGTGTATCACAAGATTATTTTGAGAATCAGATGAGATTATGAATGAGTGACATTAGAATTATAAACAGTGTAAAAGTGGGCAGTGGTGTTACTGTTACTTAGCTACTTGCAAACCTCTTAGAAATGGGACAGCTCATTCCATACCCCTCTTGTAGGTTAAAAATCTATTTGGTGAGTGGTTATTTTTTTTAAAGTAGGCAACACATTTACTTTATTGCATTTATTGCTAGTTGAAGTACAGTTGCCTTAGTGTTGTGTTGGGGAGTGTTCTGTAACTTCTGCCTGCCTGTCCATGTAAAGCTTATTTGATTCTATGTTTTACTTCCTTTAGCTGTCACTCTTCCTGCACATGCCAAACATGGTATTTTTTGTTCTTGATTAAATGAGTTTTGCTTTTCGATTGTCTGCATTTCAAATTCATGGCTTTCTGGTTTAGAAGGCAATCCTGAAGTTCAGCTACTCAGTCCAGGAGGAGAGCGACACGTGTCTGGGAGGCAGATGGTCTTTTGATGATGCACCGATGAAGCCCTTGAGAACCGTGATGCTAATTCCGGGCGACAAAATGAATGAAATCATGGATAAACTGAAAGAACATCTGTCTGTCTAACCCATTTCCCATGGTCAGTGGTGGCTTGTTTTGGTGAAATGACCAGAAGACTCAGTGGAGATTTACTGAAAAACTCATGGATTTATTCAGATTAAGGTCCTCTACAAAAAGCAGGGTTCTGTCACCGTGTCCATGACACATTTGCAAAATATCTTTGCTTTTTAAAATTTTGGTCAAATTAAGAATGGTTGATTAAAAACTTTTCCAATAAGAAGAAAGACATGGAGTAGTAATTTAAAGAACTCAATAAAAATTTCTATTTTTAATTTTTAAATAATATACAAAGTGTTATTTTTCAAGACCACCTCGTGTGGGGTATGGCGCCCTCCTTCCCGCCGGGTGTCTGCGCGTCACGCCGGTGGGCTGCCGTCAGGCTCCCTCTGGGGGTTTTATTGCACATCAGGTTTTGTGTAGAAGCTTCTGCAGAGTCACTGCACAGTGCATCTTTGCTCAGTAGTTTCAGGGCACTTTTCACACACTGTCTGTTCCTTTTTCATTGTTGAAATGGGTGAAAGATGATCCATTACTTGCTGTAGGATGTCCTTACTTTCACTAGGAGGCAGATTACTGAAATAGTATTGTGGTGCCAGTTGCATAAATCTGTTTAAAACAAGAAATTTTCTTTTTTGGTGAGAGGTACCAAACATGACTGGGCACATCCCAGCCCCGGAGAACCTACTTGTAGAACTTGTGATTAATATGAACTTCTCAGTGTCTTAACTGCCTTTGTAGAATAAATACTCTGGTTTTCATGGAGCCAGTCCAACTGCATTTCTAGGATAAGCTGGGTTCTCTAGTGTTAAGCCACACAGCGGAAGTGATACCCACCACTCTGACCACCAGGGAAACTGGTACTTCCCCTAAGGCCCATCGCAGTTTGCGAAGGATCAGATCAGATGCTTGGGAGAACTTTGGGTGTGCAAGAGAGGGAGTATCTTTGCATCTTTCTCTTACTAATATGACACCACATCCAGCTGCTGAAGCTGGCACACCTACAGTTACTCTTGGCTCCTGCCTAGGACATCACACTGCCCCAGTGGCAGTGGTACCTTCAGGATGGGGCCGGCATCTGCAACAGCCTCTGAGAGGCTAGGGTCTGTTCTCTCTGCCGCCCCTACGGCCCTCTCACTTAGCAGCCAGAGTGATCTTTAAAATGTATGGAGAAGAGGTTACCCTTGCTTAAAACGCTCCAGTTGCTCTGTACTGCACTTAGGACCAACTCCAGACTCTTTATGTGGCCCTTATGGGCCCTACACCCCTGGTACCTGCCTGTCTTCAACCTCCCCTTCCCACCCCCTGCAGTCTCGGAGGCTCAATGTTCTGAGACGGCTAAGCTCATTCCTCCTCAAGGCCTGCGCCTGCTGGCCCCGTTCCTCTGAGGCATTTTGATCCCCCTAAGGTGCATCGAGCTGTGTTTCCTGTTTCTACACTGTGCTCCCTGGAGGCCGCAGCCTTGGAGGCAGGAGCATCTCTTAGCAGTCTACAGAGCCCTGCCTTCAGCAGGTCCTCAGCATTAATTCAGGTGGGTAGCGGTATATGCTGCTTATAACTGAAAGTGTGTCCCTTGCTCTTCAAAGATGAATTCATAAGGAACCCCCTTTTTCTCCATTCAGCTTACAGCTCTGGAGAGACCTCGGAGGCGATGCGGATGTAGTTGTTGTCAGACACGCTGAACTTGTGGAAGAGAACCCACTCGGGCACCTTCCGGGCCACAGCATAGCAGCAGCGGGGGTGCAGCTGCGCGACCTGCTTGTGCGTCAGCATCAGGTAGTTGCCTGAGCCGTCGACGTCCCGCGCGATCTACGAGGCGGGGTTTAAGGAGGGAGATTTTGCATTAATACGGAGATCAACACACAAGAACATTCTGTTTAAAAAGTTCCCAAGGACGTCATACAGGATAGTTACAACGAAGTCTGCCACTCATGATTCCTGTTTTCAGATAAAGAAAGTAAGACGTAAACATGTTTTGCCCAGAACCTGGAGATAGTGATGATGTTTTTGGTTTTTTTTTTTGGGGGGGGAAGGTAACTAGGTTTATTCAGTTATTTCAATGGAGGGAGGTGCTGGGGTTGAACCCAGGAAATGGTGCGTGCTAAGCACGTGCTCTAACCACTGAGCGTGCCTGCCCCCCAGGACAGTGATGACGATGGTGACTAACTTCAGCAGTTCCGGGGCAGGTGCCACAACGGCGCGGCATGTGAGTTTCACAGCCTCAGCACAGGTTACTGTTCTGGTCAAGAAGGCCAGCGGGCTCCCTGCCGCACTGTGGGCCGCGCGCTCAACTGCCAAATGCTTCCCTCCTGATGTTTTATTAGCTCACTTAGCCCTCACGGTAACCCTGTGACGCAGGGCCTTACTTTCCCCTTACAGGTGAGGAAATCCACGCCAAGACACTGCTTTTCCCCAGTAAGACTGCTTGAGAATTTATGTGGAAATACCACAGTATTTCTCTTACCAAGACGGGAAGAGCACACCTGTTTCTGTAACGTGCTCGGTTTAGAGGAGCTATGTTAGTCAGCCTTCGCTCTGGGGAAGAAACAAGTGGGACACGGCCTTTCACGTGAGCTCGTTCACAGCCTGGTGACAAGGGGGACTGTGCCGGACGTTCAGCCAGAAAGAGAGTTTTAATTAAGTTTCTCCGCAGTTAAAGATCTTTTCTCCTTTTGGACAAAGCTCACGTATTCTGGCTTAGCTCTCCACTCTCTTGAGGGGAAGTATACTTAAATATTAAATCTTTAACAACATGTAAGGGTTTTTAAGATTTTATTTAAAGTTAACAATAAAATAATCATCCTAAGTGAGGTATTTCTGACAGGATGTCCTGAATATGTGAAATTTTGTCACGACCATACCAAAGTGGCCTTATCCATTCTTACCTGCATAAAATAACCAGACAGAAGAGCTTTCCTTATGTTCAGAGTGTTTTCCTTTGAGCCAAAAGCAGGTTCTGCATAGGGAAGCTCTATTCGCTTGATAATTTCCAAGAGCTCAGCTCGGATGATATCTGCCGTCCTGAGTGCAGAACAGTTGAGGAAGTGATCGTGACACCACTTTTCAACACAGTCTAGGCAGGAAAGAACGAGAGGCCATTGAGAGACGATCTGTCATAAGCTGAAAGAACCCAGGTCAGGAGGACACTGTATCTCTACGTCCCCTGTGCTTTCCTCTCCTAAAAAAGGGGTCACCTGAGTGAGTGGTGGGGAGGCAGCGAGGCCAAGGGCCTCCAGTGGCGGCGGGACCAACTGTCCGTGGCCCTGCCAGGAAGGCAGAGGATGCTGGCTGGCAGCACCTACCCCGTAGGGGGCTGTGGGGGGGGGTTCCACGGTCCCACAACTGTGGACAGTGCACGTTCCCAGCACTGACCAAAAGCATATCACCCGTAATCTGGCTCGTAAGAGGCAGAGGAGACTGTCTTCAGAGCAACATTCTGTCCAGTGTGTCTAAGTGAGGATGTGCATGGCCACAACATTTCCTCAAACCAGGAGGGAGAAGCTTACAGTACAAACACCTCTGACCCATGAAATTATCTCACATACTATTTAATTATAAGAAAGGATCACTACTAGGGTGCTTTGGGAGTTCATCCTGTTACAGGTAAGCTTACCGACCACAGCTGCAAATTTTATATTGAAATTCAGTCCCCTGGATCAGTTTGAAGTTTACTCTTTCTTGCCACCTATAATTACTTAAGATGGAACCGGAATTTTGCCTTGACCCAGGAGTGCACGTGACCTCAGCATCGTGAGCTGAGGACCTTCGTCGACCCTGCCCTGTCTACTCCCTCAGACCCACGTGGAGCCACAAGAGCAGGCACTTGGTCAAACGGTGTCGGCCGTCCTGCCTGTGCGCCAAAGATGCCACCAAACTCCTCGTGTCCTTTCTGGCTCAACTGAGAACTTTTTCTTTCCAGCCTTGAAATACTAACTCCTTGGTCTATACAATACTGCCATTCAGACTGCTGCCATATTTCCACTTCACTTTGAATATTTTTCACACCATCTACTTGAGCAAAGGAGGTAAAAAAGGGTCGTGGAGAACCAAGGTGAGAGTAATCCTCCTTGCAGGCAGGCTCTCTTCCTGTCTTCAGCGTCCAGCACAGGCGTTTGACAGAGTTTTCAGTTCCCTTATCTTGGGAACAGGAGTAGACCCCCCGAAGTGAGACACACCCGGGACCCCACCTCAGCTGTTCCACACGCCTTTCTACTTTTCTGGACGTCCCCTCCTCTGCCAGGCGCCGGTCAGGTTCCAGATTCTTTCCAGCCGCCCTCAGCTCATCAGCCTATTCTTTACCATTACCTGGAGCTGGGTTTTTTGGGTTATTTGTTTTGTTCTGAACACTCCATATCCTCTCCCCATCTAGTAGTGAGCAAGCCATGTTACTACCACATGCGGCACAGCTCTGGCCCGGGGGGCGCTCAGAGTCCCCCGGACCCGGGAGGGCCGGAGCTGGACCGTGCAGGTTGGTCTGTCTACCATTTCGTGTCCCAGGCAAGCTCGCCCTGAAGGCTGGCCGGGCCGGGGGCCGGCGTCTGTGGGTGCAGGCCAGCCCCTGTGGGTGCCAGGGCTCCGGGGACAGGAGGCCTGAGTTTCTGCCACTCAGGGGAAACCTGCGGGCGCACGGGGCTCAAGTGACCCGTGGGGCTCGGGGAAAAGGGTGCCTGCTCAATAACCACTCAGCCTTACTTGGGGAAGCAAGGGTGGGATGAGGAGGGCATTTCTGAGCATGACAAGCATGAACTTACGGTCACTGGTGGAACTCAGAGCTGTGTCTTGGTAGGCCTTGTAAATGTTGATGAGCGTGAAGTGATCTCCTTCAGGGTGTAAAAATGTCTTCCAGCAAGTCAAGGCGGCCTCCTCGGCTCCACGAGGCAGATGCGAAAAGCAGTCAGGAGCTTCAGGACACAGAAGGTCACAAGGTCAGCAATAATAACAACGGCAGCAGCAGCAGGCAGAGGGCGGCTCACTGCCCGCAGGCCTCCCGTCTCACTCTGTAAATACCACGTCACCCTCATTCCCTCAGAAAGCAGAGGGGCTCGGCGTGAGCTGTCGCTCTGCGCTCCTCCTCGTGCTGGTCTGCTTTTCTCAGGTCTGCTCAGGGCAGCTGACACCGGGCTTGTATTAAGCGGGACAGGGGACCCCAGGTGCTCAGGGGCCCCGGCACAGGGACAGGATAAGAACTCAAGTCCTCGTGCAGCGCAGCCTGTGGTTTGTTCTGCCAGTAAAAGAATCGATGAAAACACACAAACCAAGATGAATGAGGGGGCAGGAAACGCAACCACTCGGGGAAGAGCGCTTCCAGGGACAGCGTCTCGGTGTGCACCAACCACTGCCGCAGAGGCAGGCGTGGCAGGCTCCCACCTGTCTGATTAAGAAAGTCACTGGATTCTAATTTTCTACCTTTTTCATCTATTAGAACATTTCATTATCATTTCAATGGATCTCATTTAAATCTGTACCTGCTGCAGATTCACCGTACAAAAGAGCAGCCCTGAAGGAATACCTGTTACCATGGCAGCGATTGTCAGCATTTCATCTACGCAGTCGAACTCGCAGGACGCTAAGATGGACTTGGAGAGTTGTGGGTCAAGGGGGAACTCTGACATGATGATTCCAAATTCAGAAAGATTTCCATCATTGTCTAGCGCTGCCAGATAATCTAAGTCTTCTAAAGCTTGCATCAAACTTTCCGGTGCTAGGAAAGAAAAAATTAATAATCAGAAAGTCTCACACAACCAAGATGAGTAACAGGTACTGGATTTTCCCACACAAAATAGTGAACAAAATATATGCAGCAATAGTTTGCAAGACAGGGTATCAGGCAACGGAGGACAGTGATTCCCTACGAGGTGAGCCCTAGGACTGCCCAGCTTACTGCCCTGAGAGAGCTTCCAGGCTGGGTGCAGGGAGGGGAACCCAGGTGGAGAGTGCCAGACTGCCTCAATTACGAAGATGCTGCCGAGGGTCCAGGGAGACTAAGGCGGCCGGAGCTTGCAAGCTGCTGTGCCTGAGAGGAGAGAGCTGCACAGAGAGAGGACTCAGACCTACCAGCGTCCCCTCCACCAGTCAGCAGAGCCCATGGGAGACACCACCCCAGGCCAGAGAAAGAACCATCCAGAGGAACGGAGGGTCAGTGCCCGGTGCTCACACAGGATCTAGGCTATGCCTGTTTCCACCACCCAGCCTGCAAAACCTCAGCATGCGTGGAGCTCTGCAGGGGAAACAGACGAGAACTACACCCCACATACGCACTGTCCAGGGCCAGCCAACTAACCCTAGAACAAGAGCTGGAAGAGTCGTGCTGCATCCCAGGACAAAGCTCAAGAATACTCGCAGGAATACAAGACGTCCAGTAACGAATGCAGACAAATCTACACTGTCCAGCATTCAATAAAGCTTACGAGGCATGAAAAGCAGGAAAATATAAGCCCATGCTAAAGAGAAAAATAAATCAATCAGAACTGACCCAGAACGCACAGATGACAGGAGCAGTGGACAAGGATGCTAAGAGAGTTATTTGCCAGTGCAAATAACTCCATCCCTTTAAAGTTTATATAACATCAGTAATGGTGTAGTATTTATTATATATGCTTAATATCCACCTAAAAAGACAAATCCATTTATTCGAAGTGAGGTGTTCTCCTTGCCCTAGCAAATTAAAGTTGTATTAAAATGAATACTTGGGGTTTTCACCAGGCCCCCCAAAGAAGCAAATCACATAGTGTAAAGCTGCTGTATCGTTCTACCAGCGAAACGGAAGGACTGATGAGCCACTGAGCTGCTTTCATTCGTCTCACTTCCGATGTGTGCACGGCAGGTGGGAGACGAAGACTGCGGGGACCTCAGCAGCAGTTTAACTGAGTTTATCTGGGAGCTCCAAGTAACAAACGGTAAACAGTTACTTATTTGCCAGCCAAACTCTGACCACTAAGCTGTCTATCAAAATTTCAGGCAAACTGTGTAACTAAAAAGCCAGTCACAAATTCAGATTTGATAAAATCCCCAGTTCCAATCAGGAGACATGGAGATGCTGGGAGGAGCCACCGCTGTGGGGCGCGACAGTTCCCCACATCTCCAGCCCTCTTGCTGGAGAAGAGCCGAGCAAGTCACAGGCATGATCTCGCCTCCAACGTGCGACCCGCAAGCCTGAGACCAGTTACTGGGAAAAGCGAGGGTCAGGGCTGGGGGTGCAGGCAGGCTGCAGAGACCAGGCACCCGCTGGAGGACGCAGCTTTCACCCCCACCTGGGAGGAAGGAGGCTTGACTTCCCTGTTGTTTTTTATTTCTCTCATCAAGATTTAAAACTGAGAAGAGCATGGCCTCCAGGGGATTCCGTTCCTGGGGTCTGACCCCTTGGTCCCTCCTGGGCACTCGCAGGAGCACGGGCGGACTCCTTGTTCATTCTTAGACCCTGGCGAGGATGAGACCTTGAGAAGTCACAGTCCCGGGAGGTAAACAGATGGGCTATTTAGAAAAAACGTCCGAGAGTTCCATCAGTGAGCCATGAAATCAAAAGTGACAGCTGACCCGCTGGAGAAGGTGCAAGAAACAGCAAGAGAAATAAGCACCTCGGATTGAACAGAGTGGGAGCGGGCTGGGGGCACAAACTTAATTACTGAAAGCTGCTTAGAAACCAATTTCAATAAATCAGCGAAGCTTCTGCATTGTAAGTTACAGGATCCTTGGCAATTGTCCCTTTAAGCATCTGGCTTCACAGACCGCCTCTGTCCCCAGAGGGCACCTGCTCCGCAGTTTTACGCCCTGGAGCCGAGCTGCCGCACACAGGGTTACTATCAGAAACAACTTCATGATTCTGCTCTCGGTCCTAACGCCAGGGAAAGAGAAGAAGTTCTTGGGGTTTTACGATATTAGAAAGAACAAGATGACGAATGCAGATGATGCAGGCGAAGGAACAACAATAAATAACCGGATAGGACTTGTGAATATCACATTCTGCATTTTAAGACATCTCCCCAGTGTGGCCCATAAAATTGTCTTAGGTAAAAGCCGAAGGGTTTAGATGACGGTTCTTCACGGCAGCGCTGTTTCAGTGTAATCCATGGCAAATAATGCAAACAAATGACATGTAAATGCTTCAGCGCGAGGCCGCTCCTTACAGCAGCGCAGGGTCACACCGCTTTATCCTGAAGGCAATGTCGGTATGGACGAACATTTTTCTTAGGCTTTACTGCCAACGGCAGCCGCACCCCGTCGGGTAGCTCGCTGCGAGGTCACACGCCTCCCCCTCTGCCATCACTCAAAGTAACTTGAGGGGCTCCTGTCGCAGTACTTCTCTCTGGCTCCGTCTGCCTTTTTCCATGGAACCCCAAGTGTCAGGCGCCAACAGTGAATCTGCGTTTTCCTTCCGTGGCGTCTGCGGAAAGGCTGCTCACAAATGAAGAGGTCGTCAATCTGTAACGAGGGTCTACGTCCACCAGCCAGAGGAAGGGACTGACCCGGTGCTGAGTCTAAGCAAGAGCACTGGTCAGATGAGTCCAAGGCTGAGCTGTGTCATTTCCAGAATGATCGCCTCACATGGCATGATTCCTAAGGCCTTGAAATGGGTGCCAAAATCTTAGACGTGAAGTAGTAGGAATCAGGTTGCTCCCCTCTGCCTCACAGGGATGCCCACTCGGGCACTCAGCAGGGGAGAGCGAGCCGAGATGCACAGAGACGAGAAATGGCCCCAGTGCTGCTCAGGCCTCTGTTCTTAGGTGTCCCTCAGGCACTGCCACACTCTTGTCCTGAATTTTGTAAGAAACCCCAATTCTTTATCAAAATGCACCTCTGCTTGTGCCAGTGAGTCGCATAGTGGTGCTCACGTCCAGAAGAACACACACGCGGATCAGACACACGCACACGTGCAGGCGGACTCAGAGAAACGGAGTGAGCACTTGAGAGGGCGGAGGCAGAAAATGAAGCTGCTGGTCTTGACTGGTTTTAGCACTGGGGCTTGGGCACTGTGCACACGGAAGTAAGGAGCCCACAGAGGGGAGAAATGAAGGATCCAGAGTGTGCTGGTGTGACGGTGTGGATGCTACAGAGTAAGCTTGGCTCTGGAGAGGAGAGGGGGAGAGGCTCCCGTTTCACTTAATTTCACCAGGACACGCTCAGGAACGCTGGCACGTGCCCGGCTCCCACCCTACTCAGTACAGTGGGCACCCGTGCATAAATAACCTCACTTGGACCTTAGTCACCCCGTCACCCAAGAGGGCAGGCCCTCTGCCCGCACGTTACAGGCGAGGAAGAGGTAAGTGACCTGCCAAGGCTGCAGCGCTGCGCAGCCTGTTTCCTCAGCTATAAAATGAGGACCTGAACCCAGGCCTTTCCACCTGCAGTCTCTGTTCTAACCGGCGTGCGGTCGGCACAGCCGCGCTGGACCCGCGTCTCCCGGCTGCAGGTTGGCTGGCTGTCACGTGCTGTGGCTGTCACGTCATCCGGTGCTGCCTCCCAAGCCCGGGGATCAGTAGCTGTTTCCTGCACCATTAAACTGCCCTTTGAAGGATCTCCTGCAGCTCGGGGCCAACGAGCCTCCTGTCTCAGCCAGCGCTCAGGCAGGAGCTACCAGGGGACGACAGCTAGTGTTTACTATGTGCAAGTCACATTGCTACGGGGCCCGCGAGTGCTTACGAATTCATCTTAAGTCTATGAAGGAATTACGTGGAGCATCTCATGTTCAGATGAAGACACCGAGGCACTGAGAGGGAAGATCCCGCGCCTCACGGACTGTGAGGGCCGGGGCTGCAGTGTGGGCAGTCCGCCCAGAGCCCGAGCTGGCTGGCGGAGTCCCCTCCGGTGAGGCCGAGGGCGGCCCCGTTTCTGTCCCTCACCAGCGGACTGAAGAACAGTGTCCCCTTTCACTCTCCAGCACCCAGGCCTGACGGATAAATCGCGTGGTCACCGGACCTGGGAAGAGCCTGACGGGTGTCATGGGCTGACAGGGCTTCCTTTCTGTGCCTTTAAAAATCTGTCCCAGGTTTTCTTTGCATCTTGAAAACTGTCTTCCTCCATTGCTCCCAAGATCTCATGCTGGCTCTTGAGAGGTTTTGGCATATTTGTGCCTCTTTTTCACACCCCTCCTCCACCGTTTGAATATAACAAAAAGCTGAGTGGCCGTTGACAGATAACCATGTGACCTTAATTAACGGAGAAACAGCCCAGGCCTCTCGGGGCTGTTGGCGGGGTGACCAGCAGCAGGCTCCCTGCGGCGGACAGAGAGACGAGGCTCAGCAGCCAGGCTGCTTCTGAGAGGCCACGATGTGGGGACAAGTCCGCAGCCCACGTCCCCTCTGGTTCCTGGTGTGGTCAACAGACCCGCACAAGGTTCCGACTCACTGACTGGTGAACCCTATGAAATGCCTGCCCCGTCGCCACAGATCAACCCACTGGAGAATCTTCACCGCCTCCTTTTGCAGCCCCAACTTCATTCTGTCCTGGCCTCCTTCTCCATCTTTGCGAGGCCTCTGTCTTACCCCGAATGCCACGTCTGGCAAGTCTGTGTTGGACCTCATTTTTCACCGATCATTCCAAAGCCAGTCATCAGCTGCCACCAAAATGAGCTGAGTTCAGATACTAAGATGACATCTGCTCTCGTACATTTCGGCTAGTTTGTCCCCAAGTTTCTGTCCAGGCTCCACTGCCCTCCCAGAGGGGAAGCGTGTGGGACCCCCAAAGTGGTCAGCTGGTCCTGAGCTTGCTGACCAGATCAACGGTGACTGCGTCGCTCAGGATGGAGGTTAGTCCTCAGCACCAGGGAAGAAAACAATAACGGATTTTTTTTTTAAAGAGATCTATATCAGGGGAATTCGATGAATAGTCTCGTTACACCAAATCCATTTCCCACGGCTCGTGGGTCCTGAGGCGGCGGCAGGTCTGCTGCATCTGCGTATCTCATTTACACGCCGAGTTCAATGCTGCAGCTGCAAGCATCATCTTTTTTCCTTCCAAAATGATGAGTCAGAGTTAATCCACAGTTACGTTTTCCCCAAGCACAGCAGAAAAAAGTTGTGTGCCTACTGTCAGGAGACAAAGATAAGTTGTCACCCTCACCCTTTTGTCCCGTTATTAGGGCTGAGGCTCATGGAGTGAGCAGAGATGCTGAGGGCAAGCACTGAGGGACACGTGGCTTCTGCTCTGCTGCGGGCTGCTGTTTGCTTTTTAAAGTCTTTGACATCACAAGGCCTGCTTTCTTCTCTCTCCATGACTAGTCAGTCCCCCAAGTAACTATCATGAACAAGAAGATGCTCAGGGAATTGACATGGTGGTTCTTGGGCTTCAGAGGTGAGCAATTTTCAAAAATGAAACATGTTCCTTCAGGGGATGGCCTCTGGAGTGATGGCCGTGACTGGCCTACGACAGAAGCCAAACCACCTGAAGCCCCAGGGTCACTGGAGAAAGACGCTGAGAATGGATGCAAGGGACAGATGCTCGCCTTCTAGATGCCCTTTCCTCAGGAATCAGAATGAAAGCCCAGAGCAGGGTGGCTTCGCTGCTGGCAAGTTAAGGGACCGTGGCTACCAGAACACGGCTGCGGCATTTCCCAGCCTGCCCCAGCCAGACCACCCACGCCCCCAGGTCCCCAGCTTGGCCCCTTTCCCACTTGCCTCAACCCCTGTCACTCCAACAACTGCTACAGAAGAACAATGTATTGAATCTGAGTATGCCAAGCATGTTTTACAACCTCAGATCACAGGCTATGACTGTCTTTTCCCTCAGAGCCACCTCGAGACACATTTATCACTAATATTCACTCCTTCCACTAGTTAGGAAGGGGCGGGGCTTAAGGATCCTCTTCTCAGGTGGGGAAACGCTGTGCCAGGCCGCGTTGGCTGACATCCGCAGAGGCAGACACTAGGCTGGGGACTGCTTGGCCTTTACCCAGGTGATGTGCTCCCAGGAACCCAAACGCCAATGTCTTCACACGTGCGTTCGATCGAGGCTTCTTTTCCCTGCACGCTCTGAGATTCTGCTGCAGGGCAGTAGCCCGTGACCCTTTTCCTGCGGGAACAGACGGCTACAGAGGAAGATCCATTTTAGACAGCGCTCACCTGGTCCTTCTCCTTTTAGAGATTCTACTGCTCCTTTAGGGAAGTCTGTTGAAAATGTAAGATTCCAAAGGGCTCCCAAAAGTAATGGACTTTCCAAAGTGTTTACTGGGAGAGTTTCAACATAAAACTCCCTGAGGTTCTAGGGAGGGACTCAGCACTGCTGAAGGGCACAAGCCACCTGTCGGGACCTCCAGACCGGGAACCGGCAGGCGATGCCGAGGCCCCGGAGCCTCCTGCGCGGCTCCCGGGGGCCGGCGGGGCCGCGGCTCGGGCTGCGCTCTTCGTGTAACGACAAACCGTCTCCACAGCCTAGTTCCTCGTCTGCCGTTTTATGTCAAAGGTTAGCATTCGTAGGGCCTTCTTCTTAACCTACTCTGAATCCCATGGGCTATCTTAAGAAATATTTGAGAAAGAGTAACTCTAATACAACCTGTATTTCTCAAGGGCTTATAAATCCTATTGGTACCACTGGAAAAAATGGCTGAAAAATACAGGAACTGAGACATAGCACTGCGAAACAGCAGAAGGCGTCCCGTTTCCATTTTACGTACACTCTGCTTAGAGGGTCTTTCGGCTGACTGCGCTCTCTTGTGCAAATTCGATAAAGGCCACGGATATCGTAACACCAAGGTTAATACATTGCCAATCACCTCCTTTGATAAACATACTGAAAAATTTAACCATGGGCCTTAAAGTACGGAAAAAAGGAAGGAAGTTGTTTTTACTGAAGCACAAGCGAAAACCGAGGATCAACTGAAGGGCAGCCAGCACTACAAGTCAGAAACTTTTCTGTGGGGCCCCAAATACCCTCTCAGTTTCAGCGAAGTTCAGCTGCGGGTCAGGGCACAAAGCAGCAGGTGCCGAGGCAAACGGGGCTGGATCTGGGCAGCGGGAGCCGCTCCCCTAGAGCTTCCTCAGCCTCTGGTGCAGCATTCTGATGGTTTCCACCTGAGCAGCCGGCTGCAGGGGCAGCAAAGTTCCCGACAAGGTCTGACGTTAGACGGGAGAAAGCCAGCATCTCTCCAGTGATAAGGGCCATCCTCAGTGACCTCTGATGTGAGGAGACCCCCAACGAGAAAGGTGTTCAGACTGTAAACATAAAGCCTCAGTCCCAAACCTAAAAATGGCACCCACTTCACGAAAAAGTCTGACCTTAATTAAAAGCAGTGAACTTCTAGTGGGTTTTCTTCAGGTGATCGTATGATTCACGAGGAAGGGTCGTCTGCCTACAAATGTTCCCATCGTGAAACTAACGCTGCCAAGAATTCGACTTCTACCCTCTGGCCTCTTTGGCTTTAGACTTCCGTTCTCCACCATCCCTCCTGTTCCTAGTGGCCCGGTCCAGGCTCTCTATGTTCCAGTGTCCAATGGCAGACAATTTCCAGCATCAGCGTCCTAGAATTTTTTTTTTAAATTTTTAATTACCTTAGAGAATGTTTACTTCTAATGGGGACAGTGCTTCAGTGCAAACCAAGTCCCCACGCTGGCCTGCACTGCAAGTGCCACCTGCCCCTAGGACGGGGAGGGTGACAGGTGGGCAGGCAGGGCTCAGCCAGGCGGCCTGTGGACGCGGAGCACAAAGCTACCTGGTCTGTTCATGAAGTCACAGCGGCCTAAGCCCGCGATGTCTATTCTCTTCATAAAAAGCACCATGCTGGTTAGGTTGGCTTCCTGCATTTCTGCCGGCTTAAGTGGCCGCATGTCTTTGGAGGCAAATTCTTCAGAGTACAGACAGAAGAGTTTTCCTAGAAGAAACCAGGAAAGTGGTTTTAATGTTTCTGTGTTGCCTCCAGACCGGAATGTATGCCAGCTAGTTTTCTGTCCACGGTGCTACCTGAGGAAGATGAACCGAGAATCTGCTTGCGTATCTCTGCTTGGCTTTGGCTGATGGGCTGCGTGACAAGTGAGTTTGCTCTGATTCTAGGGTTGTACACCTTTAAACGGAAAGACAGCATCTTTAGCAACAGATCACTCAAGATTTAGTGGCCTCGCTGGCCCTGAAGTGACTGCTGTTTGCAGCACTTTACTTCCTGAAATGCTCTGCTACAGGCTCGTTTCCTTTGTGCAATGTTTATTATTGTTTCACTCGCCTTGAGATGGAAACTGCGAGGGCTCTGATAAATGGATTTAAAGGTTGTCTGCTCCCACTGTTGCTTCAATAAATATGAGACCTCTGTATCATCTGCTGAAATACTAAATGTCAATTCTCAAAGCACTACACTGCTGAATGATGACAGATACTCATGTGCCATGTGGAGAAAAGGATGATCACCTGACAGCGCTGCGTTTCCTCAAGGTTCTAGCCAGACTGACTGTGGCCTCAGAGGTCTCACCTTTATAACATTTGCTGAGCTTGTCCAGTCATCTCAGCTAATACAAACACTGCAGATGGCACTTGCAGTGAGTTTTCTTATGGGTAGTTTAAAGGTAAGTAACAGCCCTGGGTTCTCTGAATGGTGGGCTAATTCAATAAGATCAACCCAAACTGGTTCCAAGGGAGCCTCCCTTAACGGCTGGAACTGCTCTGTCAGAGTCATCAGGGAACTGAGGAGACGCATGGTCTCCTGGAGAGATGAGAGCCACACAGCATCTAGTGATGGCAGATGGGTCACTACCTAACTAGGTTCTTTTCCATTTAAATGCTGTGATATCTCAAGTCCCAGTGTCTTTAAGAGTTTAGGATATCCTGCTTCCATTTTTCCTCATTTTTTATTTTAAGAAAGTGATAAAAATATCCATATATTTTTAAAAATTTAGGATGGAGTTTTATCATGTCTACTATAAAGTCAAAATTTGCTAAAATTAAAGTCAGCGTACTTGAAACTAATTTCTAGTAAATTACCTGGGAGAAGATGCTAATTACATTGATAAAAGGGCTGCCAAAAATACCTGGGAGATGTACAGAGGAAGAGATTAGTTTAAGAGTCAAATAATTTGCTTTACTAGTTGTCTTTCCTTAAAAACTTTTCCCTTGGTACCTCAGTCAAATTAATTTGTTTCCAGACTACCAGCCTGCCTGAAAGGCAGTGACGTGTGATCAAGACTTCTGTTACTGGACGTGATAGTCCTTCTTTGCAAACAAGACCAAATACAGAGAAATTCCAAGATCATATAGTTCAACCTCACTTTCGGGTCAACAAAATAGTAGGAACCCAAGACAATGATCAGCGGTCTATTCAACTACTTGATGATAATTACCTTTCTTCTCTCCATACCCACATCAATAACAAATCTGACCGTGTTGCTCCAGATCAAAGATTCTCCAGAGCTGGCAGTTAACACCACTCTTCTCTGATAAATTTGGCATCTTTTTTCTGTTTCATCACTTGGCTTGAACAATGCACATTTCTCGTTTGGATACAAAGGAACCACCACCAGCTCTCCGAGATCTGGGTTTAAGTTAGACCCCTCTTGACAGACAATTTCATAGGCTTTTTCAATATCCTGAAGTAAAAGAATAACATCATCCCATGAGAATAAAGCACATTACAAACAACTTCACTACTTTAAAGAGAGATGTCCAAATTATATAAAACTATAGGCGAAGCCGCATAATGTAAACAGGGAAAGGAATGCCTGTGTTGTTGCCTATGGGTATCGTTAAATACAGAAAGACGTGACTGCATAAGAACATTTCTTTGGGGAAGCTAAACACAATTTTTTGTTTAGATTTTTAAAATTGAGTTATAGTTAAAGTTAAGCACAATTTATAAACAACTTCATTGATTTTAGTCCCAAGTGGTTTTCCTCTTGTGAAATGCACTATCTTTGCCTTTATGCATTTACCCTGCTTTTTTTCTAGGCTGATGCAATTTCTCATATCTGTTAACAATGACAGGTAAACAAAAGTTATTCTCACACCGGTGATGACGCATCACTGTGCTTTAATGGTGGCAGAACTAAGAACTGTAAGCCAACCTCTAGATTTCCAATAAAAGCATACATACACACACATTCCACAATCGGGCTCTCTCATCTGGGTCATTCTGAAAATGACTGTTACCTGCTAGCACTTTGAAATAGTAGAAATGCAATGAAGTAGGAGGAAATGGTCACTGCCATTTCTATCTTTGCAAACTTCAGAAATTCAGAACTACCCTTTTAAAGCGTTTCATGGTCAAATACATTTTTTAAAAAAGTAAAATTATTTGCCCTAAAACTACAAACAAGTAAGTATATTGGTGTAAAATGCTCAAAAGGCAAGGCATTTTAGGCAGTAATTTTCTATCTCGAATCACAACCAGATTTTTAATGCCTCAAATAAAAAAGATGTCAATGTTATTCTTACATCTTTTAACTTGTTTCCAAAATTTCTACCTTCTTCGGGTCTAACAAACTGCCAGATGGAAGAAGCCCCATTTCGTTTCATTAGATACATCAGATTTCACTAAAACTCCGAATGGAAAAGGTGATCTCCCATCCTATTACTGTTCTCAGACAGAGCCCACCTCCCAGGCTCCGGCCCACTCCTTCCGTCCACTCCCTTGTCGGGTGGGCTTGAACTCACTCAAGGGTCTTGCAGGTGAACAGATCCGCCTAGAGAAGTAGCAAGACCCGGGTGGGGGGGGCTCCCTGAAGGTTACCCCCGAGCTGCTGAGAGGCGCCCGAGACGCTGGCAGAGGCCGCTCGTCGGGCCCACGTACAGTTACTCGGGAGCCCTCTCCTGCTCACGCCGCCCTTCCCTGCACAGTTGGTTTACTTGGGGCAGATTTTTTTTTTAACTAAGCAAAGACGAGGGCTACTGACCATAAGGAATGAACACTTGCCAACTGGGATAATCAGAACAAAACTATTTCTTTCGATATTTATAAGTCTAATCAATTCATCATTTGATGTGAGGACACCTTAGAAATCTCCAAGGAAGTGAACAGGCACGTGGGCTGCGTCTCCGTGCGCGGCTCGCGTGCAGCCTCCGGGACACTCACACCCCCTCCCGGCGCGGCCTCCGCACCTGCAGCGGCCAACCTGCATCTGGAAAAGGCCGCTTGATTCCAGCAGCCCACTCACCAACTTCCAATCAAAACAAACCTTCAAACTGCACTGCATATTTCTCTTATTCTCTTAGAAGTTGGGCCACTCATTTTTTATTTGCTTCCGGTTGCTGGTTGCTAAAACCTTTTAGCTGTAGGTGGTTCATTTTGAATTTTGTTTCAAATGGGGGGAAAAAGAATTTTAAAAATCTTGAAAAGGAAAAAAGCAGAACACAATAGAAACAGATATTGTATATAATTTGGACATCTCAAGCTCAGCTGATAGAGGGCTTTGAGGCCATAATCCTCAGAATTTAAAAAAATGTTTAAAATATTCATCAGTGCTTCCAACCATCTACTCATTTCCTTCTTTGCCAGCGTGTGCAGAGCTTTACATACGTGAGACTGTCCTACAATTACCTGCGGAGCTACGCACTGAAGGAAGATAGCGCACAGATATCTAGCCCCCAGATTAAAGGCCCACAACTAGACAGAACATTTCCCAGGAAAACCTTCAGCCTAAGAGCACCTGCCTTGTGATGGCTTCAAGTCGCACAATGATCTTGCTAGATAATACCATAAATCTTCATTTGTTTTCTATTTATCACACTTTTTTTTTCAGGTTAAAAGATGGTTAAGTGTTAAGTAACAACACGCTGTAAACATTCAAGTCTCCAAGTCTCAAAAATAAGTGCAAGACACAGGGCAGCATGTGGCTCACAGGTATGAATTCACAGCAGGTGAGATGCTAAGCAAGTAAAGCAAAAACGTGAGGCACCTCATGTTCACCAAACAAAATGAGTAATTTCTTCAATTTAAATGTATTTTTAAAAAAAATTTTTTTCTTTTCTTCCTCTGTTTTTTCTTTTTAAAGCCCAGTATTTTAGCCTTGTTTTTTTGGGGGGGGTAATTAGATTTGTTTGTTTTTTTATTTAATGGAGGTACTGGGGATTGAAGGACCTCGTGCATGCTAAGCTACCACTGAGCTATACCCTCCCCCTAAATGTATTTCTTAAGGGAAAAAAATGACAGTACATTTCCGTTAGACATCTTAGGTTTGTTTTCATAGGATTTAATTGCTATGGTAGACTTTCAAGTTTAATATAGAAATCAAGAAAACTTCAAATAGCAATGGGAAAAAAATGATCAATATCTGTTAACATGGATTTCAGAGCAAGACAAAATTTTCCAAAAGACAAATTCCAAGGCCTTTGGAGAGCATCTTAATATTAATCCTGCTGTAGGTAGTAAAAAAGGAAAAAGAAAAATCTATCAGGATATTGAACTGCGTTCAGCAAGTTAGGTGGTAGACGTGGAAAAGAAAACCAGGTAACACTGACGGGACGTGGGGCTCAACTGTGAGAAAACCTCCAGCACCCAGAGAAGGTGCGCTCCAGCCAGCAGGGCTGCTGCCCGACCCGCTGGCCAGTGAGCTGGGAGCCCCTGGATAACGAGGAGCCCTCCCTCAGAGACTCCAGGGCTGGACCCGGGCTGTATCAGCAGCGCCTGCCAAAATGATGAATCTGCACTCCCAGAGGCTCAGAATTGCAAAACCACCCCGTAGCTTTCATTGCACTATCATGTTAAGACTCTAAGACTCTGCAAGACTGATGGTTTCTTAATAGGAAATGTCTTTCTGGTCTGACTTCAAGGAAGACTGTGTACCTTTCTGAGCCCTGTGGATTTTATAGTTTCTACTACTGCCTAGGTAAAAATGCATCTTGTAAAGTCTGACAATTCAAGTCACCATGCCATTTTCATTTGTTTTTATTTGTTTATCTTGTAGCTGTTCTGATTGGGTGCTTTCTATTGTCCTGTCTTCTAGGTCACTAACTCATTCCTCTGCATTATCTAGTCTGCTCTGCACAGCCTTTCAGATCATTCCTCATCTCAGCCAATGAGTTTACCAATTCTACTTGGCTCTTCTTTACAGCTTCAATTTCATTTTTGACATATTTTATATCTCTAAACACTATCTCTTTT